GGAAGGGAACTTAAGGGGAAAAAGGGGGAGGGATTTTGAGGAACAAGTATGAAAGACACAGAGATGAGGACTGGGGGGGGGGGAGAATAGGAGAGAGGGGGGAGACGGGGGTGGGTGGGATGGGAGAAATAGATAAAAAAATGTACTTGAAAAGTAACTAAATAAAATTTAGTATTAAAAAAAATCCAAAAGAATAAATCAATAAACTTCCGGGAAGTAAGAAGTGATTTTATCAAGGTTGCAGGAGACAAAAAACAATATTTAAATAAGATAAACAAATAGCAAATAAGCATATGAAAGGACTTATCACATCATACGTCATCACGGAAATGCAAATTAAAACAAGACCCACTACACGCCTATAAAAATGGCCAAAATCAAGAACACTGACAACACAAAATGCTGGAGAAGATGTGGAACAACAGAAACTCTCATTCACTGCTGGTGAAAATGGAAAACAATACAGCTTCTTGGAAGACAATTTGGCAGTTTGTTACCTACTCTTTACCATATGATCCTGCAATCATGCTCTTTGGTATTTATTTAAAGTAGATGAATACAGGTTCACACAAAAAATGCACATGTTTATATTAGTTTCCTTCATAACTGCAATAACTTGGAAGCAATCAAGATGTCTCTCAGTAGGTGAATTGATAAACTGTGAACATACAGATAATAAAATTTTTAAAAAAGAAATTAAAATTTTATTTAAAAATCCCCCCAAAAGTCTTAAAGGCAAGATAGTTATACAAATATTACTTTTTATTATTGTTCTTAAAGTATAGTTGTCTCTCTTTTCACCCCACCATGCCCTACTCATCCTGGCCTCCCACCCTCATACCACCCTTTGTCTTTGTCTATGGGTCCTTTATACATGTTCCCTGATGGCCCTTCCCCTGTTATACTTCTCCCCTCTCCTCTCCAGTTACCGTATGTTCTTTTTTTTTAAGATTTTATTTATTTATCTTTAGAGGGGAAGGGAAGGAGAGAAATATCAATGTGTGGTTGCCTCTCGTGGGTTCCCCTCTGGGAACTGGCCTGCAACCCAGGCATGTGCTCTAACTGAGAATCAAACCACGATCGTTTGGCTCCCAGGCCTACACTCAATCCACTGAGCTACACCAGCCAGGGCCAAGTATGTTCTTTATTTCAATGTCTCTGGTTGTATTTTGCTTGCTTGTGTTTTGTTGATTACGTTCCACTTATAGGTGAAATCATAGGGTATATGTCTTTCATTGCCTAGCTTATTTCACTTAAAATAATGCTCTCCAGTTCCACACATGATGTCACAAACAGTAGGCATTCTTTCTTTCTGCTGCATAGTATTCCACTGTGTAAATGAAACTCAATCACTCAATCCACTGTGTAAATGTACCATAGTTTTTTGATCCACTAATTTACTGAGGGGTACTTAGATTGCTTCCAGCACTTAGCTATTGTAAATTGTGCTATAAACATTGGCCTGCATAGGTTCTTTTGAATTAGTGTTTCAGGATTCTTAGGGTATATTCCCAGCAGTGGAAATGCTAGGACAAAAGGCAATTCCATTTTTAGTTTTCGGAGAAAATTCCATACTGTTTTCAACAGTGGCTGCCCCAGTCTGCATGCCCACCAACAGTGCACTAGGGTACCCTTTTCTCCTCAGCCTCTCTAACACTTGTTTGTTGATTTGTTTATGATGGCCGTTCTCACCAATGTGAAGTGGTATCTCATTGTGGTTTTAATTTTTCTCTCTCTGATGGCTAGTGATGCTGAGCATCTTTTCATGTCTCTGGGTCCTCTGTATGTCCTACTTGGAGAAGTGCTGTTCAAGTCTTTTGCCCATTTTTTTTAATTGACTTGTTTGTCTTCAGGGAGTGGAGTCATGTGAATTATTTATGTGTTTTGGAGATCAAACCCTTGTCTGAGATACCACTGGCAATATGTTTTCCCATATGGTTGCTTTTGGTTTTGTTTTAATGCTGTTTTCTTTTGCCATGCAGAAGCTTTTTATTTTGATTAGGTCCCATTTGTTTATTCTTTCATGTCCCTGGCTCTAGAGGACATATTGGTGAAAATACTGCTACAAGGAATATCTGAGATTTTCCTGCCTATATTATCCTCTAGGACTTTTACGGTGTTACAACTTATACTTAAGTCTTTTACCCACCTTGAATTTATTTTTGTGTATGGAGTAAGTTGGTGATTGAGTTTCATTTTTTGTTGTTGTTGTTGCATGTAGCTGTCCAGTTCTCCCAACACCATTTGTTGAAGAGGCTATTTTTACTCCATTTTATGCTTCTGCCCCCTTTGTCAAATATGAATTGATCATAGAGACCTGTGTTTATTTCTGGGCTCTCTATTTTGTCCCACTGATCTATGTGTCTGTTCTTATGCCAGTGCCAGATTGTTTTGCTTATGGTGGCCTTGTACTACAGTTCTTTTTATCCTGTACAGACAATGAAATCTTATTCAGTACTAAAAAGAAATAAGCTATGAAGCCAAGAACAGACATGGAAGAACCTTAAAAGCATATTACTAAGAAAGTAGCCAGTCTGAAAAGGTGACATACTGTATGATTCCATGTCACATTCTTGAAAAGGCAAAACTATCATTCATAAGTGGTTGCCAAGGGTTGGAGAGAGAGGAGGGATGAATAAGTGGAGCACAGAGTACTTTTACGGCAGTAAAAATACTCTGTATGATGCCATAATGATATATATATATTAAATATTTATCCAAACCCATAGTACGTACAACATCAAGATTCAACCTTAATGTAAACTATAGAGTTTGAGTAATCATGATACATCATTGTTAGTTCATCAAGTGTAAGGTACCACTCTGGAGAAGAAGTAGCTAATGGAGTAGGTTATACATGTGTGAGTACAAGGGGTATATGGGACCTCTTTTTATCTCCCCCTCAGTTTTCCTGTGAAACTAAAACTGATCTACAAAAAAATAAACCACTAAATTAAAAATTACCTTTTCCATTTAAGTTCTTAATTTTTTGTAATTGTTTTTTTATATCATGTAAAGTGTATCCAATATCATTTCTCTACACAGAAAACCAATTTTTCAGCATTATAAATTAAATATCCAATTCTCAGCCTGTAATGTGCATTGCCATCTCTGTCAGAGATGCTAAATATTCCACAACTCATGGATAAGTACCCCATAAAGACTTGTACCACTCAAAAAATGAATAGCATGCCATTAATAAACAGTGGTTTAAGTCAGCCACTGAATTTTTTTAAAAACTTTTTTTATTCCTCTAAATTCTGATTCTTTTCAAATTTGCCTGGACATTTTTCATAATTGTTTGTTCTGTGCTGCTTTTTCAATGGCATCTTTTACTTTTTTTTAAATTTTATTTAGTTATTTTTCAAGTACAGTTTTTAAAAATATGGAACGCTTCACGAATTTGTGTGTCATCCTTGCGCAGGGGCCATGCTAATCTTCTCTGTATCGTTCCAATTTTAGTATATGTGCTGCCGAAGTGAGCACGGCATCTTTTACTTTGTAAACATTTTAGAGCCTGCATTTCATAACCCCTGAACATAAAGTACTTGGGGGTCTAAATATGCTACTTGTTACTTCTGTATGCTGTTACCCATGGTGGCATGTTTGTGTTTGGTGATTTTTGAATTATGAGCTCATACTCTATATCTTGTGGGCCTAAGTTGGGATCACTTTCTTTCTGAGAGAATTTGTATTTGCTTCTGCCAGAAGGTGTATACAAGTAGGAGCATTTTAGCTTCCTTGGAGGACCCCAAGCTTCCAAGCTTAATGTGAGAGTCTCACCCTTAGTTTCTCCACTTTGCAGCAGGCCACAGACTTACCCTAAAGATCCCAACTTATATGAACATTTGTCCCCAGAATACCTGGCCTTGTGTTTACTGACTGTTGTTATTTGAATTCTAACAAACTATTCCTCTTATTTTCTCCCCAAGGGGAATAGGAGTACATGGATATTTATTTCTTCAAAGCCCTGTGATTCCTTAAAAAGAACGTTATGGGTTATCTGAATTCCAATTATACTGAGTAAAGGCCACTTCAGAGTAGTTAGTCACACTACCTGCCTCCCTTCTATTTTGTCCCCTCTGGTGGAACTGAGATGGTATAAATCATCAAGTCTCCTGAGAGCTGGATAGACTGTCACTGAGTATCCTTTTCAAGGTTTAGGCTTGTAACAGGGAATGCATACCCCTGGAATGGGAGAGTGTCTTGAAGGGCGAATAGGTGACTGAAGACTTTGCCTCCTTGCTAAACAGAGAAGCCAGGAGAAGGGAAAAGGCAAACATGGCCAACACTGGCCCTTTTCAATTGGACTGATGGACACTTCCACTGGCTTTCAGCAAGCATGGGAATCTGAAACAGAGAGCTCCAAGAAGTGAAAAATCAGTTGGTTTTCCTCCCCTCCCATGGCAGGTGCGTATCAATGGTAACCAGCAGACCTGCCAACAGTAGCCAGTGCCTGCCCGTGATTAAAAAAGCCTGGGTGCATAGACTCAGAAGGATGCCTGTGGCTGAACAGCAATGGAGACCAGCTAAGGTACCTACATTTATGATATTTTTGGGTGGGAGAAGAGCTTCCTGGTACAATCTTGAACTGAGCTGGCAGAAAGTGATAGGATGATTTTTTCTTTAGGTATCCTAGAGGGAATGGGCTTTGAGGCAGAAACTTGCTGTTATTTCCAGAGACCTTGGTGGTAACTGTCAGCACTGTGAACAGATTTTTGTTCTTGTGTTATTTTCAGTTCTTGAACCTATATAGTAGTTGCAATAATAAATATCTAAATAGCTATTTTGATGTCATATTCTGAATTTTCCTTTCCCCATACTTTTTAAATTCTTTTTTTAAAAGATATTTTATTGATTATGCAATTCCAGTTATCCCATTTTGTGCTCCCCTTTATTCCCCTCTGTCCTGTACCCCCCTCCCACCATCATTCCCCCACCTTAGTTCATGTCCATGGGTCATACATATAAGTTCCTTGGCTTCTCCACTTTTCCTATATTATTCTTAACCGCCCCCTGTCTATTTTGTACCTACCACTTATGCTTATTCCCTGTACCTTTTCCCATTTTATTCGCCCCCCCACCTCTCTACTGATAACCCTCCATGTGATCTCCATTTCTGCAAGTCTGCTCCTGTTCTAGTTGTTTGCTTAGGCTTTTTTTTTTTTTACATTCAGTTGTTGATAATTGTGAGTTTGTTGTCATTTTACTGTTCATATATTTAATCATCTTTTTTCTTAGATAAGTCCCTTTAACATTTTGTATAATACGGGTTTGGGGATGATGACCTCCTTTAACTTTACCTTACCTAGGAGAAGCACTTTATCTGCCCTTTCATTCTAAATGATAGCTATGCTGGACAGAGTACTATTGGATGTAGGTTCCTGCCTTTCATAATCTCAGATACTTCTTTTAGTGCCTTCTTTCCTGTAAGGTTTCTTTTGAGAAAAAAAGCTGATAGTCTTACAGGAACTCCCTTGTAGGTAACTGTCTCCTTTTCTGTTGCTGCTTTTATGATGCTCTCCCTATCTTTTTAAAAAAGATTTTATTTATTTTTAGAAAGAAAGGAAGGGAGAGTGAAAGAGAGGGAGAGGAACATCAGTGTATGGTTGCCTCTCATGTGCCCCCTATTGGGTCCTGGCCCTGCAACCCAGACATGTCCCCTGACTGGGAATCCAACCAGTGACCCTTTGGTTTGCAGGCCAGCACTCAATCCACTGAGCTGCACCAGTCAGGGCAACTTGTTATCTTTAGTCTCTTGGGTAATGTAATTATGATGTGCCTTAGTGTGTGCTTCCTTGGGTCCAACTTCTTTGGGACTCTATGGGCTTCCCGGAAGTCTATTTCCTTTGTCAGATTAGGGAAGTTCTTTGTTATTTGCTCAAATAATTTTCCCATTTTTTGTTTTTCCTCTTCTCCTTCTGGCACCTCTATGATTTTCATGTTGGAACATTTAAAGTTCTACTGGAAGTTCCTAAGCCTCTCCTTATTTTTTTGAACTCTTATTTCTTCATTCTGTTCTGGTTGAATGTTTATTTCTTCCTTCTGCTCCAAACCATTGATTTGAGTCCCAGTTTCCTTCCCTTCACTGTTGGTTCCCTGCATATTTTTCTTTATTTCATTTTGCATAGCCTTCACTTCTTCCTCTACTTTGGACCATACTCGACCAATTCTGTGAGCATTCTGCATCCTGTTTACCAGTGGTTTGAACTCTGCATCTGATAGGCTGGCTATCTCTTCATCAGTTAGTTCTCTTTCTGGAGTTTTGATCTGTTCTTTCATTTGGGCCATATTTCTTTGTCTCAGCACACCTGTTACATGTAAAGGGTAGAGCCTTAGGTATTCACCAGGGTGGGGTAACCTACATCTCTGCATTGTGGGTCTGTATGTGGGTGGAAGGCTCCAAGGGGGAACAATGCTGCTTGCTCAGTTCTCACCAGCTTTCAGTCGCTTCCCCCTACACACAAGCCAATTGGGCCCTTCTGGTGCTGATTCCTGAGTGGGTGGGTTTGTGTATGTTCTAGGGCCCTGTGGGTCTCTGCAACGAACTCTCCTGTGAGGCTGAAAGTTGCTCCTGCCACCTCAACCCCTACAGATTTTTTCAGTCAGAGGTTTTGAGGCTTTCTTTTCCCATGCTAGAACCCTCAGTTGCATGGTCTGCCTTGCTCCCCAGTTGTTCCTCCCAGTCTATCTGCATACAAATGTGGGACCACCCAGTCTGCCAGCTACTGCCTTACCCTGCATTTCTTCTGCCCTGGCCATCTGTCTCCACCCCTTCTACCAATCTGAATGAATGTTTCTTCTTTAGCTCCTTGATTATTAGGACTTCCATGCAGTTCGATTTTCTGGCAGTTCTGGTTATTTTTTGTTTTTAAATTTACTGTTGCCTTCTTTTGGTTGTATGAGAAGGCAAAGTATATCTACCTACACCTCCATCTTGGCTGGAAGTCCCCTTTTCTGTTACTTTTGCTACCCAAAAATTTTAGGGAGAAACTTGACATTAAATACAATGTTCTTTTCCACTGAACTCTGTCTTTGGACATTTGCCTGGTAGGTATGTGGGAGAACCCCCTCTCCTGATTGGGTTCAGTAACAGACTTGGTTGGGCAGGTTGGAAGGAGATGTAATGAAGGACAAAAACCATTAATAAAGCCTAATCTGGCAAAGGGCAAACCCAAGTCTAGTAATGAAGTTGATGTTTTAATTTTCATCTGTTTGATTCATATGTCTGTTTTTCAGCTGACTGCAGAATTAGAAAAAACTCCATTTATATGAAATGGTCAAAATATACAACTTCATAAAAACAAAGTAGATTAGTGGTTGTTTAAGGATAAGGGTAGTGGAAACAGAAGTGACTACAAATGGTTGAGAGGTTACGTTCTGAGATGATGAATTATGTTATAAAACTAGGTAATGGTGAGGTTGCATAACTCTGTGCATACACTAAAAACTAGTGAATTCTACACCTGTAAGGGGCAAATTTATGGTATGTGAATTATATCTCAATAACGTTGTTATAACATTGAGAAAGACAGGGATATTACTTCTTGATATAAAACACATCTTCAAAATGCATATAAAACATAAAATTAAAATTCAGTGAACTGTCACAAAGCAAATATACATTTAACCATCACCCAAATCAATAAATAAAACTGCTAACAGAGCAGATACACTTCACTTGTTTCCTTATAATCATGTCCCACTCCCTCCAATTGTGGGACTTCTAACCACAGCATATCTTCCTTTTCTTTAATGATCTAGGAACAATAAATCCTGAATAAAAGATGTTTTCTAATTATGAGTGGCAAATATCTTTTCATATTCCAAGGCTTTTATTTGTATTCTTTTAATGAACAGATATTCTTAATTTTAACAAAGATAAATTAATACATGTTTTTATGATTAGTGTTTTTGAGTCATTTCCCTGATAACAGGGAACTATTAAATGATGCCCTCAAATACTGTTATTGAATACATATTCTTTAATCAGATCCATATACACAGTGGTGCAAAAGTAGGTTTATGGTTGTTCATATGAAAAAATACAAAAAATAATAACTAATAATACAAAAATAAAATATTTGTGTACAATACTCACAACTGCAAACTTACTTTTGCCACACCCTGTATCATTTTTTTCCTTTCAGTTATTTTTCCTGAAAAATTTTAGAAAATTTATAAAATACAAATTTTATGTATTTTTCCCAGGTTAGTATTTGAATAAAGTGAATTCAGATAAAGCAAATTAAGATGTTTATTAGAAATTAAATTCATAAAGATACTTATATTTCCTCATTTTCAGGATAACCAAATCACTGTTATATCAAGAAAATATTACTCTATACATTAAACTTCCATTTATCTACAAACAAAACAATAAAAAACATACCTAATATTTAAAAATAATATTGTGCACCAATAACTAATGTTCAAAATTATGTGCTTAGGAAATTGCAAAGCTCCCATGGATTTTATTACATTGAAAATATGTGTCAATATTCAAATAATAAAACTTTTAAGGCTAGCAGTTTTTTAACATTATATTTTGATTATGCTAATACAGTTGTCCTGATTTGCCACCCCTCTACCCAGCACGACCCACTCCCTCAGGAAATCCCACCATGGGTCCATGGGTCATGTGTGTAAGTTCTTTGGGCACTCCATTTTATATACTGTACTTTATACCCTCATGGGTTTTCTGTAATTACCTACTTGTAATTCTTAATCCCCTCATCTCTTCACACAGTCCTCCCCACTCCCCTCCCATCTGGCAACCATCAAAATGATCTCTGTATTGATGACTCTGTCTCTGTTCTTCTTGTTTGTTTTTTACATTCAATTGTTGATAGGTTTGTATTTTTTGCCATTTTATTGTCCACAGCTATGATCTTTTTCTTTTAAAAGTCCTTTTAACACTTTATATAATAATGGTTTGGTGATGATGAACTCCTTTAGTTTTTTCTTGTCTGGGAAGTCCTTTCTCTGCCCATTCTAAATGATATTTTTGCTGGGTAGAGCATTCTTGGCTATAGGTCCCTGCCTTTCATGACTTTGAATATTTCTAGCCAATCCCTTTTGCCTGCAAAATTCCTTTCCAGTAAATCAGCTGACAGTCTTATGGGAACTATCCTGTAGGTAACTAACTTCTCCTGCTGCCTTTAAGATTCTTTCTTTACTTTATTTCTGACATTTTAATTATGATGTGTCTTAGTGTGGGCCTCTTTGCATCCATCTTGCTTCCGACTATATGTGCTTCCTGCATTTGCATGTCTATTTCCTTCACCAAATTAGAAACATTTCCTTTCATTATATTTTCAAATAGATTTCCAATTTCTTGTTCTTTGTCTTCTCCTTCTGGCACCCCTATGATGCAAATGTTGGACTTCTTGAAGTTGTCCCAGTGGCTGTTCATACTATCATCATTTTGGGGGTTTCTTTTTTCTTCTTGTTGTTCTGATTGGTTATGTTTTGCTTCCTTATATTCCATATCATTGATTTCATTATAAGCTTCATCCATGCTACTGTTGTTTTCCTGTAAATTGTTCTTTATTTCAATTAGTGTATCCTTCATTTCTGACTAGGTCTTTTTTATGCTGTTGAGGTCCTCACTAAGTTTCTTGAGCATCCTTATAACCAGTGTTTTTAATCTGCTAGATTGCTTATCCTTATTTTGTTTAGCCCTTTTTCTGAAATTTTGATCTGTTCTTTCACTTGGACTATGTTTCTTTGTCTCCTCGTAATGGCAGCCTCCCTATATTTGTTTCTACATATTAGGTACACTGCTTTGACTCCATGTCTTGGTAGTGTGGCCTAATGTAATAGGTATCCTGTAGAGTCGTGTGGCACAGCCTCTCCTATCAATCTAGGTGGGTACTTAACGTGTACCCTTTATGTAGATTGAGTATACCCTGCTCTTGTAGTTGAGACTTGATTGATATTAGAAGGGTGATGGGAGGGATTTACCCAGGCTAGTCAGCTGCAATGATTGGATGTAACTACTTACCACTAACCTCCACATCCCCATGGAGATTATCTGTGCAGGAGCAGGGTGGTAGTGCTCCAACATGGTGTAGCTGTTCACTGGGTGTGCTGACCCTGGGGTTTCCCAGAAGGTTCAAGGCAAGGTCAGCCCCCACTTGTGTTTTGCCTGGGACCACCCTACTTGAGCTTTATTTATTTATTATTTTTTAAAGACTGAATTTATTTATTTTTACAGAGAGGGCAAGGGAGGGAGAGATGGAGAGAAACATCATTGTGTGATTGCCACTTACAGCCAAGAGGAGGTGTAGGCAGGTACAGTGTGCCTCCTTGCACAACCAAAAGAATGACGACAAATTTAAAAATAAAAAACAACCAGAACTGACAGAAGATCAAACTGTACGGAAGTCTGACAAACAAGGAGTTAATGAAGAAGCATTCATCCAGACTGGTAGGCGGGTAGAGATGGGCAACCAGGCAGAGAGGACTCATGCAAGGCAACAGCTGGTAGACAGGGCAAGACGGTGGCTGGCAGACCAGGTGGTTCTACATTTGTGTGCAGATAAACTGGAAGGAACACTGGGGAGCAAGACAGATTGAGCAACCCAGGGCTCCAGTGTGGGGAAATAAAGCCTCAAAACTTCTGACTGAAAACACCTGTGGGGACTGAGGCAGTGGGAGAAACTTCCAGCCTCACAGGAGAGTTCATTGGAGAGACCCACAGGGTTCTAGAATGTTCACAAAACCATCCACCCAGGAATCAGCACCAGAAGGGCCCAATTTGCTTGTGGGTAGCAGCAAAAGTGATTGAGAGCTGATATAAAGATGAACAAGTGGCATTGTTGCCTCTCACAACCCTCCCCCGCATACAGCCCTACAAATAGGAACATGGTTGTCCTGACCTGGCAAATACCTAAGGCTCCACCCCTTACTAAATAATAGGTGTGCCAAGACAATAAAATATGGCCCAAATGAAAGAACAGATCAAAGCTCCAGAAAAAATATGACTGAGCGATGAAGAGGTAGCCAAACTAGTTCAGATGCACAGTTCAAAACACTGGTAATCAGGATGCTCACAGAATTGGTTGCATGTGGTTGCAAAACAGAGGAAAAAGTGAAAGTTATGAAAAGTAAAATAAAAGAAAATGTACAGGGAACTAACAGTCATGGGAAAGATACTGGGACTCAAATCAATGAAGTGGACCAGAAGGAAGAAAGAAACAACCAAGCAGAAAAGAAGGAAGAAACAAGAATTCAAAAAAAAAAATGAAGAGAGGCTTAGGAACCTCCAGGACATCTTTAAATGTTCCAACATCTGAATTATAGGGGTACCAGAAAGGGAAAAGGAAGAGCAACAAGTGGAAAACTTATTTGAACAAATAATAATAATTTTAAAAACTTCCCTAATCTGGCAAAGGAAATAGACTTCCAGGAAGTTCGGAAAGCTCACAGAGTCCCAGAGAAGTTGGACCCAAACAACCACACACCAAGGCACATCATAATTACATGACCCAAGATTAAAAATAAGGAGAGAGTCCTGGATGGTGTTGCTCACTGGATTGAGCATCAGCCTGTGAACCAAAGTGTTGCCAGTTCAATTCCCAGTCTGTACACACACCTGGGTTGTGTGCCAGGTTCCCAGTATAGGGTGCACAAGAGGCAACCACACATTGATGTTATTATCCTTCTCTTTCTCACTCTCTTCCCCTCTCTAAAAATAAATAAAAATTTTTTTAAAGATAAAGGAGAGAATCTTACAAGCATCAAGAGAAAAGGAGACAGTTATCTACAAAGGAGTTCCCTTAAGACTATCAGCTGATTTCTCAAAAGAAACCTTACAGGCAAGAAGGGGCTGGAAAGAATATTCAAAGTCATGAAAGGCAATGACATACATCCAAGATTACTCTATCCAGCAAGGCTATCATTTAGAATGGAAGGGCAGATAAAGTGCTTCCCAGAGAAAGTCAAGTTAAAGGAGTTCATCATCACCAAGCCCTTATCTGTGAAATGTTAAAGGGACTTATCTAAGAAAAAGAAGATCAAAAATATGAACAGTAAAATGACAATAAACTCACAACTATCAACAACTGAACCTAAAAAAAAAACTAAGCAAACAACTAGAACAGGAATAGATTCACAGAAATGGAGATCAGATGGAGGGTTATCAGCGGGGCAGGGGAGAGGCAGAATGGGGGAAAAAGTACAGGGAATAAGTAGCATAAATGGTAGGTAGAAAACAGACAAGGGGAGGTTAAGAATAGTATAGGAAATGGAGAAGCCAAAGAACTTTATGTTTGACCCATGGACGTGAACTAAGATGGAGGGAATGTGCGTGGGGGGGGGGGCAGGGGTTGTGTATGAATATGGGGAATAAAGGGAGTGGGGAATAGGGCAACTGTAATAGCATAATCAATACAATATATAAAAACAAAGTTATAAAAATGATTAAAAACAACTACAGTACATTTATACAATGGAATACTTCTCAGTCATAAAAAGAAGATAATTTTACCCTTTGTGACAGTAGGGATGAACTTGGAGAACATTATGCTAAGTGAAATAAGCCAGTCAGAGAAAGACAAATACCATATGATTTTAATCATATGTGGAATCTAATGAACAAACTGAACCAACAAGCAAAACAAAGATGGACATGTAGATGAACAGAAGATGACAGCTTGGGTGGAGGAAAGGTTAGGGGGTGGAGGGATTGATCAATAAGGGAAAAGGATTCATGGACATGGCCAACAATGTGGTGATTGCCAGGGGCAAGGGCACATAAGGGAATTAAATGGTAATTGAAAAAATACAATAAAGATAAATAAAAAGATGCAAAAGAAAAAGTGTGTGGGTGACTCTCATGCTTTCCCTACTGGGGACCTGGCCCACAACCCAGGCATGTGCCCTGACTAGTAATTGAACCAGCAACCCTTTGGTTCGCAGGCCAGCACTCAATTCACTGAGCCACACCAGGCAGGATGAGCTTTGAAACAATCTGAAATAGCTCCTAATTGTGCTGAGCTTGAAGATTCCCAGGCAAAGCCATGCTGTGAATGTAGGATGGCTGCTGCTAGTTAGGGCTTGGTACTCACTGAGGCCAGCTGTTGCTTGTTTGATAGGATTTAGGAAGTTGTGAACCATGAGGCAAAACCAACCATTCATATGGAAAAGCAGCTTGGGTCGGCTAATAATTTGGGTGGGGTGGAGTCTCTGGAGAGCTCCAGGGCAGAGCATACATTGGTAACCAGGATAACTGAGTCTCAGATATGGCACCAGCTTGCTGGCTCAGGGTAGCAGGGGATGGGGGTTTCAAAAAGGAAGAGTGGCCTCTGCTCTTCTTGATACCAAACATTTCAGTTTCTTTTTGTATACCACTAGTGCTTTCATGCTGCCACCCCACTGCTGCAGCTCAGAGGGAATGAGTGTGAATGGGTGAATCTGTGTGTGGGTTCTTTAAGAGGAATTGCTTGGGGTTCCAGCAGTTTATTCCACTGACTCCATCCCTGCTAGTTTTTGCAGCCAGAAGTTGTGGCTACTGGAACCCTGGGCTAGGTGTCCTGTGATGGGGCTGGGACTCCTCACTCCTAAGATATCACTCATGAATTTGTATCCACCATGCATGGGTGAGAGACCAGACCTTTCCACATTTGATCCCCTCCTACCAGTCGGATGAATGTGCTTTCTTTAATTCTGTTTTAATTAATTCCTATTTCTGACGTTTCTGAGTGTTTGTTGTTCTATATTTTATTTGTAATTTTGATGTAGTTGTGAAAAGAGGTGAGCCATGTCTGCCTACACCACCATCTTGACCGGAAGTCCTGAAGACTAGCAGTTCATTTAAGGTAGCTGTGATGACTGATAATTAACTAAATTATGCAAATAACTAGAACATTTCCAGTCTCTGACAAATCTGAACAAATGCGGCTTTACTCTAATAAGAATGTATATATCCTCACAATTTGGCCTTGGTTCCATCTACATATTAATTATATGTAGTTTTTCTTTCAGACTATCCAAGAAGCTTTTGTTTTGGTATATAAGAGCATTACTGTTTACTGTTTCATATAAATTTAATTTATAAAATCAATTTCTATATGAGTATTTGTATTAAATTGCAGATTCTGCAGGACTAATTCTTAGCCAGCACTTTCCATCACACCTAGCATATGGTAGACACACAGATGCTTATAAACAAACTAAGTGGCAAAAATTGAACCTGCAAAAAGTGTATGTTCCACAACAAGGGTGCCAAACTCATTTTCACCAGGGGCCACATCAGCTTCATGGTTGCCTTCAAAGGGCCGAATGTAATTTCAACTCCTTAACAATTAAGGAGTAGTTACATTTGTATAGTCATAAAATTATTTTGGCCCTGTAAAGGCAACCGGGAGGCTGGTGTGGCCCCCAGTGAAAATGAGTTTGACATCCCTGCTTTAAGACTATGTCAATTCCAAATACCTGATCATTAAAATTCACAATGTACTCTTTCTTCTCAGCAATAAAGTTAACCTCAATAAAGTATTTATAAATACTTACTCTCTTTGCTTTCAGGCTCGTTTTGTTCAAGAACACAACTTCCTGATGGATTCAGCTGCCACTGCAAAAGAGCACAAACATTTTATTTATTTATTTATGAAAGTTTTAATAAACAGTATTATTAAATACTATTATTTAAATACTGCAATGTGCTTTCAAATATTAAAACAACTTTAAAAATGTAAGAAAAAGAGTGAACATGTCTATACCGACCAAGCTCTAATGATGCCAAAAGCCCCTGAATGATATGACTTCTGGGATCAGAATCAAAATTCTTAGAGAAGAAATGAACTTTAAAGATCATTTATATTATTTTATAGGTAAGGAAGTGTAAGACTGGAAAAATGTAGCAACTTGCCCAAGGTTACACAGTAACTAAAGGCAGCAAATAGAATTAGAATCTGGGTCAGCCTGTCTGTGCCCAATACTACAGAGTCTCTACCACCTCATAATCTATTTCCAGGTCCTACACATCTTGTAATAAGTAGGTAAGTCCTGGATATTAAAGAATGAAAATAGGGCCAAGATTATCTTACCTTTTAATAGAGTTTTATCATATAATATACAATATTAATTCTATCATATCACATCACATCTCTGATTAGCTTTCCATCTTAACTATCCACAAAGAAATAGCAAAGACTGAAGATTCTCAGATATTACAGAGGAGACAGGAGCAACAGATAAGAAAACCTCAATGCAGTCAGAATCTCATTGCATATCCCTTCCTTACTTCCTTGCCTAGAAATCCCCATCATCAGAATCACTTAATGACTTAACCAAAAAGGTCCCAATAGGGCATTATCTCCAGAAAGACACAATTAAGTGTTTAGCATCTGGGAGATTTCTTCCAGAGGATCAGTTAGTTGGTTCATCAGATAAACAAGCTAATATCATCCACTTCAAAGGGGGAACAAGACACAAGACTTTACCATACGAAATACAAGTCCTTGGAAGTGGAGCACATCAAGAACTAGTTGGTCACCTACAGAAATGGGATGGTGAGGTTTAGTACCAGGAAAAAAAAGACTTATAAAGGGTAGGAAGTTAGGTATGACAAATTTTTTAAAACACATGTTTTAAAACAGGTCAAACTACTAATATCTATTAATTTTGGGGAAAAAACCCTAGTAACCCTGAATTTACTTTTAAAGATAATCATACAAAGACTATTTACAACTGTAAGAACTTAGAAGTAATATAGGTGTCCAACAACAGAAGAATGGTTAACTAAGTAATATCTATAAATTGAAATATATAATTATTAAAAATGATTTTTGGAGCCCTGGCTGGTGTGCCTCAGTTGGTTGAAGCCTTGTCTCATAGACCAAAAGGTCACAGGTTCAATTCTGGGTCAGGGCACATGCCCAAGTTTTGGGTTCAATCCCCAGTTGTGGGTTTGATCCTCAATTAGGGTGCATATGAGATGGTGGCCATTCAATGTTTCTCTCTCACACTGATATTTCTCTCTCTTTTCCTTGCTCTCCCTCTTTCCATCCCTCCCTTGCCTTCTCTCTCTAGAAGCAATGAAACAATGTCCTTGGGTGAGGATAAATATAAAAAATATTTATGCACAATTTTCAATGACACAGAAAATATAACTTTTTAACAATAGTATCTATGAGTTCTGGGATAATATCAATTATTTTTTATTTTCTTAGTCCTCTACAATGAGCATATATTACTTTTATAATGTAAAAACTGATATGACCTAATAGAGAAAAATTCACATTTATTAAATTAAAAAAAAAGGAGTTTATGAGTAAATGGATGTGGATTTACACTAGCAAAATCTATTCTTTTTTAAATATATTTTATTGCTTATATTATTGCAGTTGTCCCATTTCCTCCCTTCATTCCCCTCCACCCTGCACACCCTCTTCATCCCACATTCTCCCCCTTTAGTTCATGTCCATGTGTCTTAAGTTCTTTAGCTTTTACATTTCCCATACTATTCTTGCCCTCCCCCTGTCTATTTTCGGCCTGCCATCAATGCTACTTATTCTCTGTACCTTTCTCCCCCTCCTCCCACTCCCCTGTTGCTAACCCTGCATGTGAACTCCATTTCTGTGGTTCTGTTCCTGTTCTAGTTGTTTGCTTAGTTTGTTTTTATTTTAGGTGTGGTCGTTAGTAATTGTGAGTTTGCTGTCATTTTACTATACATGTTTTTTATCTTCTTTTTCTTAGTTAGATAAGTCCCTTTAGCATTTCATAAAATATGGGCTTGGTGATGATGAACTCCTTGAACTTGTCCTTATCTGAGAAGCACTTTATCTGTCCTTCCATGCTAAGTGAAAGCTTTGCTGGATAGAGCAATCTTGGATGTAGGTCCTTGCCTTTCATGACATTGAATACTTCTTTCCAGCCCCTTCTTGCCTGCAAGATCTCATTTGAGAAATCAGCTGACCATCTGATGGGAACTCCTTTGGAGGTGACTGTCCCCTTATCTCTTGCTGCTTCTAGGATTCTCTCCTTCATTTTAATCTTGGCTAATGTAATTATGATATGCCTTGGTGTGTTCCTCTTTGGGTCCACCTTCTTTGGGACTCTCTGAGCTTCCTGGACTTCCTGGGAGTCTATTTCCTTTGCCAGATTGGGGAAGTTCTCCTTTATTATTTGTTCAAATAAGTTTTCCACTTGTTGCGCTTCCTCTTCCCCTTCTGGTATCCCTATAGTTCAGATGTTGGAATGTTTAAGGATGTCCTGGAGGTTCCTAAGCCTCTCCTCATTTTTTCGAATTCTCGTTTCTTCATTCTGTTCTGACTGAATGTTTCTTTCTTCCTTCTGGTCCACTGCATTGATTTGAGTCCCAGTTTCCTTCCCACCACTATTGGTTTCCTGTGCATTTCCCTTCATTTTACTTAGTTTAGTCTTTATTTCTTCATCTAATTTGTGACTAAAATCAACCAGTTCAGTGAACATCCTGATCACCATGGTTTGAACTGTGCATCTGATAGGTTGGCTATCTCTTGGTCGCTTAGAAGTATTGGCTCTGGGGCTTTGAGCTGTTTTTCTGCTTAAGCCATAATGTTTTGGTCTGTTCACACCTGTTATTTATGAGAGGCAGAGACTTAAGTGTTCACTAGAGCAGGGCAACCCAAGCTGTGACGCTGTATGTGGGTGCAGGGTCCAAGAGGGAAAAAAACAGTGCTTTGCTCCACTCTCTGTTGCACCTCAGTCACTTCCACTGCTTTCCCCAAGCGAAGTGGGCCGTTCTGGTGCTGATTCCCATGTGGGTGGGCTTGTGTGTGTTGTAGGACCCTGTGGGTCTCTCCAATGACTTTCCTGTGAAGGTTGAAGTCTCTCCCTGTGCCTCGACCCCCACAAGTGTTTTCAATTAGTGTTTTGAGGCTTTATTTCCCAGCATTAGGATCCTGGGTTGTGCGATCTGTCTTGTTCCCCAGTTATCTGTGCGTGAATGTGGGACTGCTACCTGGTCAGCCAGCCACCTTGTGCACGGTGCCCCATTCCTCAATCACGGCCTTGCTGGGTCTGCCCATTGCTACCCCATGCCAAGAGTCTGCCAGCCACCGCCTGGGTGCCCAGAGTCTGCCCAGTGCCTCCTTGCATGCCAGTTGCCACTTTGCACACCCGGGGTGCCTTGTACGCCCGGTGTCACGGCTTCCTATGCCGCAACCCCTCTCCGCTCGGCTGCCCAACTCCACCCCACCTACCGGTCTGGATGAATGTGTCTATTTTAACTCCTTGGTTGTCGGACTTCCATATAGTTCAATTTTCTTTCAATTTTGGTTGTTACCTTATTTCTAAATTGTTGTTGTCCTTATTTTGGTTGTTCAAGGAGGCACAGTATGTCTACCTACGCCTCCATCTTGGCCGGAAGTCCACAAAAATCTATTCTAGAAAATACTGTTGCCCAACCCTAGCCTAGTTGGCCATAACCCTGCAGAACAAAACCACTTATCTTAAGGTATATGGTGATACCTCAAAAAAAAAAACACAAATATTTTTCATACAATTAATTTCAACATGCTTTAATTTGTAAAATTATCAAATTTATTGATACTCAAACTACTTTTGACACTATAAGAGTATAATAATTATTAAAATTCAAACTTGGAACAAATACAAGATATGTTAGTGGTATTTACAAAATTAGGTGTTTAGTTAACTAGGTAGTTTAAATCATTTACATAATATTGTAAGCCAGGAGAGATGGAGAAAAAGAAGTGAGGGTAGAAAGCTATTATTCACTGGGAGGAATAGAGAAAAACCATGTGTACCCAAGTGAGTGTGTTCCTGAGTGTTTCTGTAGTCTCTACTCAGAGAGCCTTTACTCCCTTTGTCTTTGTGGTTCCTTCCCTTCCATTGTCCTATCTTAAATTCATCTGATCTTTTATCTTTTTACAATTGAAAGACTACTAAAATCCACCCGTAAGGAAGATCTTTCAGAATTCACTTAACCCATCACACACATTCCTGAAATGCTAGGTTACTTAACCTTTATGAAGAGAATTTAAAAAATTCTTCCCAGCTTCAGAAGGAATGAAGAGATAAAAAACAAAAACACAGAAATTGAGGCTTCTCTTTAATTAGTTGGATGTAAGTTTTTGTTTAGTTTTACAGAAGAGGTATCTTTCCCATCTCTTCCTACTTTTAGAACTGCCCCCTTTTCTCCATTTTTTGAAAAAAATGGAGATGAAAAATAAAAGTGCAGAACAAAAAAAATGTTAAAAATTTATGAGACCTCATACATGGACAGAAACTAAATAATATGTTGTTATATTTTTAAAAATTTAAGTATTATGTAATATAATAAATATCTTTTTAGATGCTTTACAGAGGGGTAGAAGTAGGTTAAATTACCAGATATTATTACCTAAAGGATAAATTATAAGTAAGGATATGAAATAATAACAATAATAATAGAAATTAAAAAATAATACAAATGATGAATATAATAATTAATAAGTAAATAATAATACAAGAATAAACTGCTTTGTGTACTCACTACTATAAACCAACTTTTGCCTACTCCCTATATATATTACAGGGACATTGGCTCAAAATAGAAATGAAAAGTTGAAATTTATAAATAGTTCTATTATATGCTTTTTGTACCCACTGCAAATTTTAATATATAAATGTTACATTAAATTCCAGAATAACTGTTAAAAAGCAACATATAATTCCAACAGGACCTTTTTGCTATATAGAACACTGGAACAACTGATGACTCTGGAATCTCTTAATGAAATGACAGTGAGGTATCAGTGATAATTTCCTGAGATATGTGGTTGTATTATGGTTATGTGGGAAAATTAACACAATAAAGTATTTAAGAGTGATTTGGGCCCTGGCTGGTATGGCTTAATGGATTGAGTGATGGCCTGCAAACCAAAGGGTTGCCAGTTTGGTTCCCAGTCAGGATACATGCCTGGGTTGTGGACAAGTCCCTCGTAGGGAGCACATGAGAGGTAACCACACATTAATGTCTCTCTCCCACTCTCTCACCCTCTTTTCCCCTCTCTCTAAAAATAAATAAATAAAATCTTTTTAAAAAACAGAGTGAATCGGTTTCATACCAACGACTTATTCTCAAATGTTTCTGGTAAAAAGTTTCTCATAGTGTTTTGAAAACTTTATGTATATCTGTGATTATTTTTTAAAAGAGTAAGTTTTAAAAACCTAATAGCTTCCAGTCAAGATGGAAGCATACGTACACACACTTCGCCCCTTGCACAACCACAAGAAGAATCACAACTAACCTCAAAACAAAAAACACCCAGAACCGCCCAAAAATTGAACTGTATAGAGAAGTCCAACAATCAAGGATTCAAAGAAGCCACACTCATTCAGACAGGTATAAGGGGTGGAAAGAGGTAGATGGGGTGGAAAGGACACAGTGCAGCTAAACAGGCAGTGCCACATTCCCATGTGGAAGATAAAAAGTGGAGAGATACCTTAGGAGCCAGCAATCTCAGCTCCAGGCCAGGCTACATAACCTAGGGTTCTAGTGCCAGGAAGATAAAGCCTCACAACTTCTAGCTGTAAAATCCAGTGGGGGTTGGACTGGTGCAAGAAACTGCTGGTTTCTCATAAAAGTCCATTTAAAGGGCCTGCAAAGTCCTAGAATGTGCACAAAACTACCCACTCTGGGAATCATCACCAGGGAAGAAGCAAGAAGGGTGCTGGTCACATATGAGAAGTTGGTGAAGTAATTGAAAAAGGGGCGAGTGCCAGACAAGCCTCCAGAAGCCAGGTAGCTGTCATTGTCTCTGACCCCTCACCCCAGCATAGCACCAAAAAGCAGTGAAGTGGGATGCCCTAACCTGACAAATACCTAAGGCTCCGCCCCTTACAACTTAACTGGTATGCAAGACAGAGAGTCAAAGCAGCTCTACCTAATACACAGAAACAAACAGAGAGTCTGTTTGTTTGTCAAGTTGGCAAGACAAAGAAATACAGCCCAAATGAAAGAACAAAACAAAACCCCAGGGGAAAAAAAAAACTAAGCAAAATAGAGATAGCTAACTTATCAGATGCAGAGTTCAGAACACTGGTGATAAGGATGCTCAGAGAAATCATTGAGTTTGGCAAAAACATATGGGAAGAAATGAAGGCTATACTAAGTGAAATAAAGAAAAATCCAGAGGGAACCAACAGTGAAGGGAAGGAAGTCGGGATTCTAACCACTGATTAGAACATAAGGAAGAAATAAACATTCAATCAGAACAAAAGAAATAAGAATTCACAAAAACGAGGAGAGTATAAGAAGACTCTGAGACTTTTCCAGAAGTGCCAACATCCAAATCATAGGGATGCCAGAAGGAGAATAGGAAGGGCAAGAAATTGAAAACTTATTTCAAAAAAATAATGAAAGAAAACTTCCCTAATTTGGTGAAGGAAATAGACATACAGGTCCAGGCAGCACAGAGAGTCCTAAACAAGATGGTTGCAAAGTGGACCACGCCGAGACATATCATAATTAAAATGCCAAAGGTTAAAGATAAAGAGAGAATCTTAAAAGCATCAAGAGTAAAGCAGAGACTAATCTACAAAGGATTTCCCATAAGACTATCAGGTGATTTCCCAAAAGAAACTTTGCAGGCAAGAAGGGACTGGCAAGAAGTATTCAAAGTGATAAAAAGCAAGGACCTAAATCCAAGATTACTCTATCCAGCAAAGCAGATAAAGTACTTCCCAGACAAGGTAAAGCTAAAGGAATTCATCATCACCAAGCCATTATTACATGAAATGTTAAAGGGACTTATTTAAGAAAAAGAAGAATAAAACTATGACCATTAAAATGACAACAAATTCACAACTATCAACAACTGAATCTAAAAACAAAAACAAACTAACCAAACAACTAGAACTGGAAGAGAATAATAGACATGGGGATCATTCAGAGGGTTATCAGCTGGGAGGGAGAAGGGCGAGAATGGGGGATAAAGTACAGAGATTAAGAGACGTAATTGGTAGCTACAAAATAGGGGGATGTTAATATAGGAAATTAGAAGCCAAAGACTTACATGCATGACCCATGGGTGTGAACTAAGAGGAGAACTGCTGGAGGGAAGGGCAACACTGGGTGGAAGAGGGCAAAGGGGGAATATTGGGACAACCAAAATAGCAAAATCAATAAAATACACTTAAAAAAACCTAAACAGTGAAAAAGCATAAAGAGTTAAACTTGAGTTTTACAAGAACTACCTCAGTACTTTTTTGATACATCAAATATTAAATCCCTTGTAACCATTTCTGATTTTTCTCATGAAAAATGTGTGCATGTGTGTATACGTGTTTATGCCCCCCCCCCATCTTTTGCATAACCTTAAACTATTTTTGCCTCTGTTCACCATTCTATCCAAGCCAGAAGGAAGGGTAAGGGAAGAGGTGGGTCAGAGATTTTCTTTTGTTAAGCCACTAGATAATACATCAAACAGCCCACTAATTCAAGATCTGTAAGGCCAATATACAACTCTCACATATAGAAATGTAAATTCATAAGAGACCCTAAACTAAACATATATGTAATTAGGCAACTGTTTGCACATAAAAATAAAGTCAATGATAATAGGTTATGGAAACTCTTTAACTAAAAGGGCAGGAATTATTAATTTAAAACACGAAGCAGGGTACCAAACAACATAATAGAAAGTACACTTGAAAAAATTGTGTATCTTACTTACTGTAAATTTGCTAATACCCTCAAGTTCTCCAAATCGCATGTAAGAGATGTCTGCCTTCTTTTTTCCAACATCTATATCCCCTGTATAGATTTGCTTTATGCCTGCACCTTTAATTAAAGGTACACACTCATCACATGGGCATTTTGTCACAAAAATCATACTTTTTTCTTCTGGTTTTATTTCTTGACACCTACAAAAATTTATAAAATATTATGAAGGCAGTTTCTGAAAGGGTAAGGTATATTTCAGAAAAATCTTTGAAAAACTAAAACTGAGCTGTTTTAAGAACAGATTTACAACATTATGAACAATAATAAGTAAAACCTATTTTTGCTGAATTAGTGACTGTTCAAAATATACAACTCATCAGTGCAAAAATATAACATGAACATGACAATTATTATAACTAAAATTTATTTATTTATTTTAACCAATTTGGCAAGATTTCAATGTTAGATTACAACGTTAATTAAAACAGAAAGAGACAGACATTCAGAGAGAGAGAGAGAACACAATGTTTTCTAAGTAAGAACTTCTTTATAATGCCAAAATTAGGGGTGAGAACACCCTCCTTAAAAGTTTATGAAGTATGTAAAATTGGAACTGCTTTTAGACCCAGCAATTCTGCTGCTGGGATTATACCCTAAGAGCCCTGAAACACCAATCAAAAAGAACCTATGCACCCCAATGTTCACAGCAGCACAATTTACAATAGCCAAGTGCTGGAAGCAACTTAAGTGCCCATCAGCAAATGAGTGGATCAAAAAACTATGGTACATTTACACAGTGGAATTCTATGCAGCAGAGAGAAAGAAGGAGCTTATACACTTTGTGACAGCATGAATGAAACTAGAAAGCATTAAGCTAAGTGAAATAAGCCAGGCAGTGAGGGACAAATACCATATGATCTCACCTTTAACTGGAACATAAGCAACAAAAGAAAAAAGTAAACAAAATATAACCAGAGTCATTGAAATTAAGAACAATCTAATAATAGCCAGAGGGGAGGGGAAGGGAACAGTGGGGAGAAGGGTTTTCAGGAACTACTATAAAGGACACACAGACAAAACCAAGGGGGAAGGTGGAAGCAAGGGAGGGAGGTGGGTTTGGAGGGGGTGGGGTAGAGGTGTGGGGGGAAAATGCAGGCAACTGTAATTATAACAATAAAATAATTTAAATTTAAAAAGCTTATGAAGTATAATTAGAGATTAATTTATCGTGGCAGCCAAAAGATCTACCCCTTTATTTAATAGATATTTAATAAATGCTAACTAAAGTAATAAATTAATATTAAAGTTTCAATTGGGTTATAATTCCCTTACACCCTCTCTAACACAGGATGATTTTATTTAACATTTAACAAATGATCCATATCTCCATACAAAATGAAGCAAGTAAATCAGTAATGAAGAGCACAAAGAAAAGAGAAAGGAGTTGTTTGATGGGGATAGTTTAGGACTAAGGGATGCTCTCTTCTGAGGCTACAGGGGCTGTATTTCCTGGATCTATAGTTTACTCTGCTCAGAGTCAGATGTTTTATATCACCACTAGCCTTCCATATCCATCTCTCTAGATCAGACTCTTATTCTGTTCACCTGGACTAGGGCAACACAATTTTATGCACCTAGTCTGTTCAAACAATATACCCACAACCTAAGCAATCGGTAGTGTGGCTCTGTTAATGCTATTCCATTTCCCTACTAACTACCAAATGAAGTCTAACCTCACAGTCTTCCCTATACAGTTCCAATCTAGTCCTAGCTGCTCCATAGTTCAGCCTAATTACAACATGCATGTTCCTACACACACATTTTTCCTGCTTCTAGACCACTGCTATGTCTGAAGCTAGAATGACTTCCCCGCAAGTATATTCAGTTGCCACCATCCTACCAATCCTTTAAAGATCAACTTAAATTCTAGTTCCTCCATAAAGCTTTTCCTTCCCATTCCCACTCCATCTATAGCAGCCCTTGAATTTTCACAGCACTTGTGTTGGCCTGTCCCACATAACCAATTACATTAGGTTGAATGCCCTGTTATATCCCCTACTGTATTATAAGCTCCAAAGGTCAGGAGCGTATTTTAATCAATTTTGAATACCCTAAGGTCACCCCCATAATGGTCAAGGCTGAGAAATGTTAGTGAAAATAATCTAAATTAACAATAGAGGAGGTAATTCGTTATAATCTCTAACAAAAACTATGTTAAATCAATTTAGTTAATAAAATCTGTATATTCATAAATATAAAATGTGTACTTTTGATTTTAAAAAACAAAGGAGAGCTTACATTCCAGAAATATACAAGACCCTAAGGACATACTTCATGCAGGTTTATACTGGAGAGCAAAGGAAAAAGGGGAAAAAAGATTGCTCAATAAATCTGAAGGCCCACAGGATCTCTGATAATGCCTGAGATTAGGCAGCAAAAATCAAGTGTGACCAAAGCTAAACTTCTGAAAAAGTAGTTCTTGAAATTTTTTAAAAAGGAAGTAAATTACAGCTAAGAGAAAATGCTAAAACACCTTGTGTGACACAGTGGTATTCTGTTTTCAAGGTTTCTCACAGAGACAATAATCTGCAGCCAAATATGTGCTATATTTCTCAGGAGCTTTGCAATAATGCTAAATTCTTTTAAAGTGTTGTTTTGCCCTCTCTTGCCTGAAGGTCCTGGCACACAGATCAGGAAGTTTTGTATTGTTTATGAGAATGTAATTTTTGTGTGTCATGTAGGCCTGGCACATTCATGAAAATGACAAAATTAACTAGATCAAAATGGAACCCAACAGTCATCATGAGATTTTTCTGAATAAAAGACATGTTCCCTGATAATTCTATGCTGGAATAAAGCTGCAAAACTAAAACCAAACAAATAAGAAAAAAAAAAAAGAAAAGAAAAAGAAAAACAAAATTTCAACTAACCCTTGCTACATTTCAAAGAAAATGCATGCAAATGAATTTCATACCTAAATGTCAAGGCATTCTGTTCCGCATGGACAATGTATCTAAATTTTCTTATTTCTCTGTCTTTCTGTTTGTCATCCATATTGGGGAAGTCAGCATACTCAGATCCAACAGGAAAAGCATTATAACCACATCCTATGAAGTACATTATGCCTGTGCCATCACAATTTTGCTGCAAGAGGGAGACAACAACAAAACTGTTTTCAACATTCTGAAAAGGCAGCTTAGTATCATACTTAATACATTCAATTTTGTACAAAATATATAATACATTCAATTTCTATGAAATTGAACCATCAAAAAATACAATATTAGGGGGAAAGGGTGGCAAGGAACATGTATAAATGACACATAGAAAAAACCAAAGGGGGGGTAGGACACAGTGTGGGAGGTGGGGATGGCTAGGGTCAGGGGAAGTGGTGAGGAGGAAGTGGAGACAACTGTACTTGAATGACAATAAAAAAAATTTTTTAATTAAAAATAATAAATTTTGACAGTGTAAAAAAATACAATATTAGACCCTCCCACGGCAGCATGATCTTGTCAAAGTTAAATTTCAGAAAGGCTCATCATCTCTCTAATATACAATCTCAAGAAAGATATTGGTTTGAGCAGTTAGTCAAATACTAGCTTGTATAATTCACATACTTTCACTTGATTCAAACATCTTTCCTGGAACAGGTAATAAGATTCCGGACAACAGAAACCATGCCTTCTTCTCCTTTTTTTCCCTTACAGTATACCTATTAGAGAGTTTCATACATAACAGATACTCAGTAAATGATTGTTAATTTCTTATATGCTCTGTGCTGTGGTACTGGTTAGCAAGCCAGAAATTTAAAATGTATTTTGAACAATTTCTGTTCCTGGGCTAAAAATGTGCCGTTGTGATATTATCTGGAAAATAAAACATTCAATTTCCTATAGTCTTTAATAATTATTGAGCCCCTATTACACGTGCATATACTATCATAGGACTTCTTATCTCAATGGCTCTCATGGTCAATGGCATTTTAGGTATTAACATGAAGGCTTTGTCAGTTATTAGAGTGAAATATTTTGTAAATCACAACTGTTTATAATAGCTTGGAATATGCTATAATAAACGACACTAAATTTCAATATATTATAATTACTCATGTGATAGTATCAACAGACTCATTACTGTAGCAACTTGACAAAAATCACCATTATAATAAGCTGACAGAAGCTTACAAATAAAATACTATCATATTAATACATAAATTAGTCTTGAGTACTTACTAAATGTCAAACAACATGCTGTGTTTTATATACATTATTTCATTTAATCAACACAGATGGAAATTTAAGCCCAGAGTGCTTGACTCTAAACCTATTATCTTTCTAATTTACCATGTTGAGTACATACACTATACATAATTTAACTGGAAACTTAAGTTCTCCGCAAAGTAGTTGAGAACAACCAGATTATAAGCCAAGGCCTTCTGAGCATTCAGATAAATACGAGTAAGAGTTCCAACCATAGGCCAGGCACTACGCTAGGTGCTAGAAATACAGCTGTAAACAAGACAGAGAATCTCTGTCGTGAACCTAATAATCAAGAGATTCTAAGAAACTGGAGACTTCCGGCTAAGATGGAGGCACAGGCACACACTGTACCTTTTCACACAACCAAAATAAGGACAACAAAAATTTGAAATGAAATAACAACCAATACTGACAGAAAATTGAACTGTATGGAAATCCGACAACCAAGAGATTAAAGCAGACACATTCATCCAGACCGGTAGGAGAGGTGGAGCCAGGCAGCCAGGCAGAGAGGGGTTAAGGCAAAAAAAAAGCAGCAGCTAGCAACCCCGGGCATGCAGGTGGCAGCAGGCTGACCCAGCTAAGTGGCAGATTGTGGAAGGGAACAGTGCACAAGGTTGCTTGCAGAACCGGGCAGTCCCACATTTGCATGCAGATAAACCAGGCAAAACTGGGGAGCGAGATAGAACACTCAACCCATGGTTCCAGTGTGGGGAAATAAAGCCTCAAAACACCAACTGAAAACACCTGTGGGGGTTGAGGTGCCAAGAGAGACTTCCAGCCTCACAGAAGAGTTTGTTGGAGAGACCCACAGGGTCCTAGAATGTACACAAACCCACCCACAAGGGAATCAGCACCAGAAGGGCCCAGTTTGCTTGAGGGAAATAGTGGAAGGGACTGAAATCTGGCAGAGAGCAGAGCAAGCGTCATTGCTCCCTCTTGGACCCCTGTCCCACACACAGTATCACAACACAGCGATGTGGGTTGCTTTGCCCTGGTGAACAACTAAGTCTCCACCCCTCACTATGTAACAGGCATGTCAAGACAAAAAAATGGTCCAAACAAAAGAACAGATCAAAGATTCAGAAAAAATACAACTAAGTAATGAAGAAATAGCCAACCTATCAGATGCACACTTCAAAGCACTGGTGATCAGGATGCTCACAGAATTGGGTGACAATTTGGTCACAAAATTCAATTTGGTCACAAATTAAATGAACAAATGAAGACTACACTAAGTGAAATAAAGGAAAATGTACAGGGAACCAATAGTGATGGGAAGGAAACCGGGACTCAGATCAACAGTGTGGAGCAAAAGGAAGAAAGAAACAACCAAACAGAAAAAAAAATGAAGAAACAAGAATTCAAAAAAATGAGGAGAGGCTTAGGAACCTCCAGGATTCCTAACTTTAGGAATGTTTAGTAACTTTAAACGTCCCAATATCCAAATCATAGAGATGCCAGAAGGACAAGAGGAAAAGCAAGAAATTGACAACTTTATTTGAGAAAATAATGAAGGAGAACTCCCCCAATCTAGCAAAAGAAAGACTTCCAGGAAGTCCAGGAAGCTCAGAGAGTCCCAGAGAAGTTGAACCCAAGGAAGCACATACCAAGGCATATCATAATTACATTACCCAAAATTAAAAATAAAGCCCTGGCTGGTGTAGCTCAGTGGATTGAGCGTGGGCCTGTGAAGCAAAGGATTGCGGTTCAATTTCCAGTCAGGGCACATGCCTGGGTTGCAGGCCAGTTCTTATTGGGGGACACATGACAGGGAACCACACATTGATATTTCTCTCCCTCTCTCCTTCCCTTCTCCTCTCTCTGAAAATAAATAAATAAAATATTTTTTAAAAAATAAAGAGAGATCCCTGGATGGTGTTGCTCAATGGATTGAACACCAGCCTGTGAACCAAAGGATTGCCAGTTCAATTCTTAGTCCATACACATGCCTGGGTTGCGGGCCAGGTCCCCGGTAGGAGGTGCACAACATACAACCACACACTGATGTTATTATCCTCTTTCTCACTTCCTTCCCCTCTCTAAAAAAAATAAAAATTTTTAAAAAGATAAGGACAGAATCTTAAAAGCAGCAAGAGAAAAGGAGACAGTTACCAACAAAGGAGTTCCCATAAGAGTATCAGCTGATTTCTCAAAAAAAAAAAAAAAAAAAAAAAACCTTACAAGAAAGTAGAGGCTTCAAAGAAGTATTCAAAGTCATGAAAGGCAACAATGTACATCCAAGATTGCTCTATCCAGCAAAGCTTTCATTTAGAATGGAAAGGCAGATAAAGTGCTTCCCAGATAAGGTCATGTTAAAGGAGTTCATCACCAAGCCCTTATTATATGAAATGTTAAAGGGAGTTATCTAAGACAAAGAAGATCAAAACTACAAACAGTGAAATGACAACAAACTCACAACTATCACCAACCAAACCTTAAAAAACAAACAAAAAACAACAAAAATGAACTAAGCAAACAACTAGAACAGGAACAGATTCACAGAAATAGAGATCGCATGGAGTGTTATCAGCAGGAAGGGGGAGGGGGAAGAATGTGGGGAAAGGTCCAGGGAATAAGAAGCATAAATTATAGGTACAAAACAGAGAGGGGGAGGTTAAGAATAGTATGGGAAATGGAGAAGACAAAGAACTTATACATATGACCCATGGACATGAACTAGGGTGGGAGAATGATAGTGGTTGGGGGCATAGAGTGGAGGAGAATCAAGGGGAGAAAAAAATGGGACAACTGCAATAGGATAGTGAGTAAAATATATTTTTAAAAAGAGAATAAACTGAAAATGAATAAGAGACTTAAATGTAAATTACAAAACTATAAAAATCCTAGAAGGAAACACAGGCAGTAAAATTTCACATATCTCACATAGCAATAGTTTTGATGTGTCTCCTAAGGCAAGATAAACAAAAAAAACATAAGCTACATCAAATTTAAAGGCTTCTGTACAGCTAAATAAACCATCAACAAAAGAAAAAAGGAACCTATTTATTATAGGGGAGAACATATTTTCCAATGATAGATCTGAAAAAGCTTTAATTTCTAAAATGTATAAAGAACTTATAGAACTCAACACCAGGAAGACAAACAGTCAAACTAAAAAGCAGGCAAAGGACCTGAATAGATACTTCTCCAAAGAGGATAAATACATGGGCAACAGACATGTGAAAAAATGCTGAAAGTCACTAATCATCACAGAGACGCCAATTAAAACCACAGTGAATTATCACCTCACATCTGTCAGAATGGCTACCGTCAATAAACCAACAGGTCCTGGAAAGAATGTGGAGAAAAGGGAACCCCAGTGCACTGTTGGTGGGAATGCAGACTGGTGCAGCCACTCTATTAAACAACATGAAGTTACCTCAAGAAATTAAAAATGGAACTGCATTTCAGCCTAAAAATCCCAATTCTGGGAACATACTCTAAGAATCCCAAAACATCAATTCAATGTGCACCTCTATGTCATAGCAGCATTATTTATAATAGCCAAGTCTGGAAACAGCCAAAGTGCCCATAAATATGAGTGGATACAAAAGCTATGGAACAGTTACATAGTGGAATACTACATGGCAGTAAAAAAGGAGGAACTCACACTGTGACAGCCTGGATAGACCTGGACATTATTGTGCTAAATGAAATAAGCCAGTTAGAGAAAGACAAATACCATATGATCTCTTCTATATGTGGAATCTAAAGAAACAAAATAAACTAATGTACAATATAGAAAGAGAGGCACAGATACATGGAACAGACTGACAGCTGTTGGAGGGGAGTAGAGGGACTAGATGAATGAAGGTGAAGGGATTAGTCAAAGACCATATGTGCATGATCCATGGACAAGGACAACAATGTGGTGATGGCCTTATTGGGGGGAATCAATCTGGGTGAATGTGGGCAAGGGGGGAAATAGTGGGGGTAACTGTAATAGTGTAAATAATAAAAAATAGGAAAAAAATATGAACCTAAATAAAATAAAACATCAAAGAAATGTTTGCTAAATGAATGAATCTATCCAGAAAATTGTTGAAAGTTTAAAGAAATGCTTATAAAATGTAATAAAATCACCAATACAAAATATTAATGCAATGGGTCAATAAAATATATTTAAGACTGAACTATATTTAAAGAAAATCAAGGTTACATGTTTAAAGAATTATTTTAATACTTACAGATTTTCTTTCTGCCCAAATTACTGCTCCAACTCCTATTTTATGGTCCTCTAAAAGAAAAATGGCATTTAACTAAGAAACAGTCAATGATTTGTTAATTTCAGAAATACATTTTTCCAAAAATAATAAAAACATTGAAGCATACTTTCTACATGTAGCTGCAATTTTTGACATTTCCCAAATTACAGAAAACCACTAAAATAAAAACTTTTAAGCATGGAATATGGGAACTAGGTAATAAATAACTAGACAGTGTCACTACCAACTCAGTCACACAGGATCTATATGCGGAGATCATTAAATTGGCAGTGTCCATGGTCAGGTCACTTCAGAGCTGTAACCAGAATTGAATGTAATTGTCAATTCTCCACCCAGAAGTCAGTTTGTAAATAATTATTTCTAACAGATGATAAAATTGATTAACAAACAAATTTCTGATTTAATATAACTATTCTCAACAATCAAGTCTGTCTTCTACCAGTTTTTACACTCTAATCATGGAAAATAGATTTCATACAGATGCTCTTGCTAAGAAAAATGTTCAGATTTATAATGCAAACATAAACAAATCTTTATGAGCTTTCATGTATTTATATTGCTGGTAAGTACATGAAAGGGATTTTGATCTAAACAATATGTTTTTCTTTCCCTGATCTTCATAATTTGCCTTTAGTGGGGAAAAAGCCAAGTTAGTGACATGTTTATTTCTAAATCAATTATAAGATTATAATTTTCCTGTAGAACTAAAATCTCTGCAACAAGATATACTTCTTAAAACCATTAATATGAAACAAAATTTAATAACCAAAACAGAAATTCTGCATATAAAGAATTTACTTTTTCCTTGTAACAATATAAGGGTGAGTTCCAAATGTCTAGGATAATTATGCATTAATTATGAAAACCAAAGTATTTATCCAAATTTTAATAAGGGACTAATGTAGTTAAGTAGGTACATTTACACAGAATACATAACAACTATCAGTGAACTTAGTCTAGAATAATTTCATATTGGTGAGGATTAAATGAAACTGTGCAATTTCCTTAAAATTAGTCCTTACAATGATAACATGTTTAAATACTTCCTTTTATAGTAAAAGTACAAAGAAACTTTATTGCGCTTATACATTAAAAACTAGGGTGCTCCATAATTTTAAGCTATGATATATAAAAAAATTCTCCAAATTCAGTTCAAGCAAACTTGGGTTTTCAAAATTATATTACAAAGTACTTGCATAACTTATTTTAAGCACTTTTTATTCATCTCCTTTTTATCCAAAGGTAAAGCAGACACAATTTCTTTTTCTAGATGAGAAAACAGGTAAAGAAATTAAGTGACTAAAATTTAGCCCTCTAGACCCAACCTATTTGCCTTTCTTGTACCACTCCCTTTGATATTATTAAGAATTTTATAACAAACATTTCCCTTTATTGAATGCCCAAGTATACAGTAGTGAGGGAAACAGAAGTCCCTATATTCATAAAACTTATAGTCTATCTGATGATAGATGAAGACAGGAACAAGAAAACACATATGTGCTGTGCAGGAAATTAACAGAATCCTGAGGAATGGAGTGTGTGAGAGGAGGGCTTACTCTAAAGACTGTAAACTGTCATGAAAGGGATTTTAGTGTAACCAAAATACTGTTTCTTGTAAGACATTTGTAATAAAACATATGGGGAAAAGAATATAATTACGGATTTACGATAATTTCTAAGGCAAGTGGCAGAAGTTATAAACATAAGTGTGTATTTGTCTGCAAAACCAAAGCCTTTACTGGAGGTAAAATTGTACTCAATACATGCATAAATCAAAAGCAAAAAATGAAAAACTGAAATAAAAATTCTTTATACTAAGAGCCTACTTTTCCTACCATCTACACTGAGTGTTTTTTTATTTTGTGTTGTTTTTTTTTTTAAGACTCAGGAGGCACTTTTTCTGTTTCAGTTCAGAGACAGACTAAACCTTGTCAAAAGGAGGAAAATGTGATTTTCAATCAGCATGCTGCTCTACAGCTATCTAAGGTAAGTCACACCAAGATAATATTCTTTCCCATGTAATTTTTACAATTAAAATAAAATGTCATCCATGTTAGATGGAGTAGATTTCACACAGCTTCAACACTGGCTGACAAATTAGGTGGTTTCTCAAAAATCTTTTCATGTATGTAATTTTTACAGAAATTGCTCTGGTCATTCTCAGGTTGTTCCTGTCCTCATTTGTGTACCTTTGAAGGGAAGATGAACTTACAATCATGAACCAAATTCCTGAGACTCATCACTAACAGAGAACTCTTTATCCTATGATTCTAGAACACAGGCATGGTTATCTTAGCTCCCAATTCTGTCATGTCAGGGTTTGTCCATGTGGCCCACAGGCCACTTATATCCACTGGCTGCTTGTTAAAAAGACAGACACCTATCTCCCATGGAAATGCTCTGAATCGACCTCTCTATGAAAGTTGGACAGACATAGAAATTTGCATTTCAGGTAGCATTCCCTCTGTACTAAAGCTGAGAACCACAAAGTTATAAGTTGAAACATTAAACTTTCTTGGCTACTCCAATCTACTTTTGTCATCAACACTGTGGTCCAGGAGAAAGGTATAATCTTCAGCTTTGTAAAATGCTAAATATAATGGGAAAACAGGACCCAAAACAGAGATTAAAGTATCGCACTTAAACCAGGTAGATTAGATATAATGCCCTCCTAACTCTTTTTCCCCCTAGAGCCTAAATAAATGTTATCACTTTTTTGCTACCTCAACATATTATAGAAACATACTTTTAATGAAACCTTTGAGGATCATATTTATTCATCATTCAAGAGGCAATTATTAAGCACTTACCATCAATTACTTTTAGAAAACTCTGAAGGTTTTATAATTCAATTAAATCATAAGTATATTTTTAAATGAAATGGTTTAATAGAATGGTTTCTTCATGTACTAAGTAGAATAAAATAATGCTGTCAAAGCAAACTGAACAGTGTGAAATGAAAAGTCTGAGTTATTAGAACACTCTACCATGGGGATATTTACCTTGCTGGATTGTCCTCCACGTTAAAGGATATCAGTATATCAATAGCCTACCTCTGTGCCTGACATATTGTAGGTACTCAATGAATTTTTATTGTTACTATTTATAATCAATGAAGAATATAGGTCTAGAATTCCTTATCTGAAATCCCTTATATCAAGATTTTTTTGGACAGCTTGATGAATTTATTTTGTGGCCACACCTGATCAATGTTTAATGCAAACATTCACATATTTTACTCCATTTGTGTAAATGTGTTTGATTACATGGTACTTTCCCAGATCCCCCAGAAGTGCTGGCTAATATGTAGTATATATACCACAGTACCTTTCTAAAATCTGAAAATCTCTGAATTCCTTTTCATCTGGCTCCAAGGGTTTTAGATAAGGGATTGTAAACCATTTATCTTTGGATATATAAAGATTTGCTTTATTTATTCAACACACTGCACTTAGTGCTAAGGAAAAAGTGGCAATGAAGATGTGATCTCTTTCCTGGAAGAACTCCAAATGGAGTGGTGTGCAGGACACAGCTGCATTCTATTTAGGATTTGGATTCCAGGCAAAAAAGTCACACATGATTAAAAAAAAATTAACCTTGAAAAATCTTTTAAATTGTCCATCAAGTACAGAAGTACAGCTTTATGTAAAAACTGCACAGAAATAGACAATAAATTTATAATTAGAGTATTTAATAAAGAATATATATACAAATTTATACCTAAACATTTCTGCATCTTTAAACACTGAAGTCATACATAGTATGAACTAATCATACTTAGTTCTATGAGAAGCAAGAAATACTGAGATCAAGTAAAAGAACAGCATATTCACATATCCCACCTTATGTTCACTTTGGAATGTTCTGAATTCTAATTAACAAAGGGGAATTTGTGAATTATATCTGTAATGGCTATTCCCATTTATGTTTGTCTTTCCTGGTTTAGAGAAGAATTATTTATAAAGTTGGTTTTGACAAAGAGACTAATGTATAGCCGACATATAATTAATTACATTAAGCCCTGGCTGATATGGCTCAGTGTATTGAGTGCCAGCCTGCAAACCAAAGGGTCACTGGTTCAGTTCCTGGGTTGTGGGCCAGATCCCCCATGGGGGGCACTTGAGAGGCAACTTATGTGAGGGGACATAAGTGAGGGGACACTTATGTTTTTCTCCCCCTCCTTCTCCCCACTTCCCCTCTCTCTAAAAATAAGTAATCTAAAAAAAAAGTAATTGCATTAAATCAGACTGTTATGCTATAGAGTTGTTTGGCAGCATATAGCTCATGCCTGTTATAATAGAATCAAATTCTTTAATCAGAACTGAGTGCCTATTAACCTTCCCAAATGTCAGAATTCCTACTATAACTTTAAAAATTCATAAGCCTAGGCCACACCCTTGGGGACTTGGTTTAGTCTGAATTGGAATTTGAGCATTTGTCATTTCCATGGTGATACTGATATGCTACCAGTTGAGAACTTCAATTCTACTGAAATTACTTTGACCTGTGGTCTTTGTTTAGAATACACTACAGGCCAGTGGCATTTATCTGAACCTTTTCTGAAGATTTTCTCTTTTTTCTTCTTTCTTGGGAAAAGTTTAAAAAATCCTACTATGGCCCACTTATCAAATCTTACTCTACTGCTCCTCCTGTCTGCATTTTTTCCTTATTTCAAACCTGCATTTTAAAAAGTGATTCTTCTTCTACTTTGGAAAATTCTGTATCTGATAAGATGTGAAAACAATGTTCTACAATTGGAAATACAGAAGGCACATTTTATCACAATAAAGAAAATTCCCAAGAAATATTTTCTTTTCACATATGTGCCCATGCATAACTTAATAAAGTAATGTTTGATTACTTTATTAAGTAATGTTTGATTTCTCTACTTGCTGATTGAACACACATAGTAGCAATTGGGGAAAAAAATCTGCCTGTATTTCTTTACTTTGATTCTGTTGGTTACTTTGAATTCATATATTGTAAATATTTTAAAAGTTTGTATTAATATTGCATACACATAAAATATTGAAGAGTTAACAAAAATGAATGATTTGCTTCTCTCTCTCTCTTTTGTCCCATCTCTAGTAGCGGGATCAATGAACAGTGAAGTTGTAAAAACAAGAAGCAGAAAAGAAGGGTCTAAACAATCAGGCCCTGATTTATAAATTCAGCACCAAATTATAAGGCCACAAAAAATCTGAAACTACTCTAAGAGAGCATTGTCTACCCAAGAGTCTCACTAAATTCTCTATATTGTACAACCAGCAAAACTTTAGGAACTGAGAGCAAATGAACTGTACCATAGATGAGATGAACTCCACTTTACTTCTGAAATAAATACAATCCATCCAATAAGCCCCAATGTATGAACTAAGCACATAACTTACCAGTTCGATATGCCAATAACCTGGCCTGAACCATGCAGTGCCTTGAAATTTCTTGTGGCAAACATTGACTGTGAATTTCATTAATCCGTTCAGGATTGTCACAATAAAATCCATAGTGTTTAAAGTTAGGCACACTGGAAGCTACTGTAGCCAAAAGCAGGATAAGGTCTTTCATGTTTTGCCTTAGATTGCTAAAGTATGGGTTTTCACATAGGTTTTCCAAACCTATAGTCATCAGTATCTGCTTATGTAGTTCTTCATTTGAAATAAAAAATAACATTTCATATTCTTTTACTCGTTCTTGTCTACATTCAGAATAAAAGTCAGTGTTAGCATCAGGGAATGCCTTTGCAATTTTTTGAATAAAGTCACATTTGTAAGAGGTTTCCTCTACAAACTGCATCATATAACACACCAAAGGCTGAAGTAAGACACACACATGGGCCCTACTGTTTGATTTCAATCTTTCCACTGCTTTGGCATCTAACTTTGCATCTTCAGAACTACAAGCCTCAGAAAGCAAACTTATTTCTGGATCAGCAGGCCAATATGAAATTCGGTTAACTCCAGCTGAAATATAAAATATGAAAGGTAGTTATCAGATACATGCTGAAATTAAGAATTTTCTTGATAAATCCACCATATCATTGCAGTAGATCCAGAAGTCCCAATATAATAAATGTCTATTACCAAGTCAGCAATAATATAGCCTATGACAAACCATAGCTCACAAGCAACATCCAACCCATTGCCTATTTTTTTAATTTATTTTTTTATTGATTATGCTGTTACAGTTGTTCTATTCCCCCCTTCATTCCCCTCCACCCTACCCCCCATCCCCACCATTACCCCCCCTTTAGTTTATGACCATGTGTCTCAAGTTCTTTAGATTCTATATTTCCCCTACTATTCTTGCCCCCCCATCTATTTTCTATCTACTGTCTATGCTACTTATTTTCTGTACCTTCTCCCCCCTTCTCCTCCTCCCACTCCCCTCTTGCTAACCCTCCTTGAGATCTTCATTTCTATGTTTCCACTCCTGATCTAGCTGTTCTTTTAGTTTGCTTTCGTTTTAGGTGTGGTTGTTAATAACTGTGAGTTTGCTGTCCTTTCACTGTTCATCTTTTTTTAACTTCTTTTTCTTAGATAAGTCCCTTTAACATTTCATATAATAAGGGCTTGGTGATGATGAACTCCTTGAATTTGATCTTATCTGAGAAGCACTTTATCTGTCCTTCCATTCTAAATGAAAGTTTTGCTGGATAGAGCAATCTTGGTTATAGGTCTTTGGATTTCATGACTTGGAATACCTCTTTCCAGCCCCTTCTTGCCTGTAAGGTCTCTTTTGAGAAATCTGCTGACAGTCTGATGGGGACTCCTTTGTAGGTGACTGTCCCCTTAGCTCTTGCTGCTTCTAGGATTCTCTCCTTCATTTTAATCTTGGCTAATGTAATTATGATGTGCCTTGGTGTGTTTCTTCTTGGGTCCAACTTCTTTGGTACTCTCTGAGCTTCCTGGATTTCCTGGAAGTCTATTTCCTTTGCCAGATTGGGGAAATTCTCCTTCATTATTTGTTCAAATAAGTTTTCCACTGGTGGCTGTGCCTTTCCCCCTTCTGGTACCCCTATAATTCGGATGTTGGAATGTTTAAAGATATCCTGGAGGTTCCTAAGACTCTCATTTTTTTGAATTGTTGCTTCTTGACTCTTTTCTGTTTGGCCATTATTTGCTTTCTTCTGGTCCACTCCATTGATTTGAGTCCCAGTTTCCTTTTCATTGCTATTGGTTCCTGTGCAATTCCATTCATTTTAATTAGTTTCACCTTCATGTTTGTCTAATTTGTGGCTATAATCAACCAGTTCTGTGAGGATCCTGATGACCAGTGTTTTAAACTGTGCATCTGAGAGTTTTGCTATTTCTTCATCGCTTAGATTTATAGGCTCTGGGGCTTTGAGGTCTCCTTGAACCATTTTTGGTCTGTTCTCGCCCGTTAACTCTGAGGAGCGGAGCCTTGGACTCCCAGGTCGCTGGGTTGTGACTCTGTATGTGGAGGCGGGGTCAGAGCAGGGAAATGGAGGCGCCCTCCACCTCTGCTTGCTGCTGGGGCTGCTGGCTCTCACCCAATCACCCATTCCCTCGCTTGTCTATCCACACACAAATGCGTGACCACAGTCAACCCGCAACCCTGCTCTCTCGCTGTTTCCCCGCGATTGCTTGCTGAGTTGCCCACCAGGTCCAACCCTGCCCCTGGATTCCGCGTGCCTGAGTCTGTCTGACCGTGTTTTCCTGTGCTACCCCGCTCTGCCAGCTGCTGGTTTCGCCCCTCTTACCGGTCAGGCTGAAGAATTTGTTGTTATCAGACTTCCGAAAAGTTCAATTTTCTGTGTTCTGACTGTGTTTTCTGTTGCTATTATTTAGTTGTCTCTAAACTTGGTTGTGTGAGGAAGCACAGCGTCTCCAGCTATGCCTCCATCTTGGCGGAAGTCCCCATTGCCTATTTTTGTATGGCTTGCAGGTTAAGAATGGATTTTATAGTTTTAAATTGTTGGGGAAAAAAAGAATATTGTGACAAAAATTATATGAAATTTAAATTTCAGTGTCTAAAAATAAATTTTTATTGGAACATAGGCCCACCATTCATTGACAGTCTCTAGCTGCTTTTGCACTGCAATGGAGTAGCTGAGTTGAGAGCTGGGTAGCCACGTGGCACGCAAAGCTTAAAATATTTATTATCTGGCCCTTTATAGGAAAAGTTGTCTAACCCCTAACAAAGCCCATGGAAGGTATTTATGGCATCATTGGCCTTGCTAAGTGTGGTCCCAAAGCCCAGTGCTGGGACTATATGCTAAAGTGCTACAAGTAAAAAATGGCTGCTTTTAGAAATATCATAGCTGACAACTGATAGTGTCTAGTCTTGTTGCTGAAATAAACTATTCAACCATGCTTTTAAAATACGAGGTTTGTCCAGAAGGTATCCGGTCTCGTAATATTGAAAAATAGAGGCATCTATTGAAGAAGATATAAGAACAAGAAACACTGTACACAAGACAATGACCCCTCAGTCACCTTCAAAGTAGGCACCTTGGGACGTCATACAGTTCTTCCAATCACCATCAGCTGCTCCATCATATTTTCCTAAATCTCATCAACAGTCTGAAATCTCTTCCCTTTCAAAGGTGATTTGAGTTTAGGAAAAAGGCAGAAGTTGCAGGGCACCAAACCTGGTCTATAGGGGGACTAAGTCATCTGGGTGATTTGATGTTTCACCAAAAAACTCTGAACAAAACATGATGCAAGAATGCGTGCATTGTCATGATGAAACTGCCAAACACCAGTTGCCCACAGCTGCGGGCTTCTTAATCATCTGAATAGTTTCTGCAGGGGAATGTTCAAGCTTAATGCAAAATTTGATGCAGATTTGTTGCTCTACTCACTCAGTCAGCCACACAGTGCACATGCTCAATCAATGGCATCTACCACTCCCACAGACTAGACAGTGAACTCATCATTGTTCACACATATGCATTCCGGTCTACTCTCCTTGGCTGCCTGGTTACATCAGTGTTGTACAAAATGCTCTCATTATATTAACAATGTCTGGACTTTTTCTAGACAGACCTAGTAAACCTGTACTCTGAATTTTTCCTCTGGGAAGCTATTCTGTGAAAATATTCTAAATAGAGACAAAAAAGAAAACATGCATGGCTATATTTAGTGCAGCACTGTTTAAAACAATAAAAACATAGAAAAATCTAAAGGGACAAAATAGGGGAATTGTTAAACAAATCAGGATCCTCCTCATAACAAAATATTATGCAGTTATCCAAAATGTCCACAAAGAACTTATAATGTGAGGACAGCAAAGGGGGAGGGGCGGGATATTAATTTTTTTTAGGTCCACGAAATTAAAGACTGAACAACAAACTAGAAGGTACGTTTTTCAATCAATGTGACAAAGGAAAGATTAGTAATATTAACATACATAGAAAGTGTTAATTCATTAAAAGCATATACAGGTATCAATGGATAAGAACAAGACCTCAAGAGAGCCCAAAAGATATGAACAATTTACAAAAGAAAAAACAAAACTGGATAACAAACACAGGGAAAAATATTTTAATTTGTATTTAAGATCAAATGATGAGAGAATCCTTTTACAGAGTTAAGCACCCAAATATTCATCAATTAAAGGTATTTTACAACAGAGATCCCTTTGCTAGTATCTCATGTAATTGCAGCTAAGAGAGATATTTTTTAATTTTATGTTTTTAACCTCATCTGAGGACAATTTTTCCACTGCTTTTGGAGAGAGGGGGAGAGAGAAAAACATCAATGTGTGACAGAAACATCAATTGATTGTTTTCTCACATGCACCCTGACTGGAGATTGAACTCACAACCGGGGTCTGTGCAGTGACCAAGAATCAAACCTGCAACCTTTTCAGTCTATGGGACAACGCTCTAACCAACTGAGCCACACTTGCCAGGGCAAGAGTCATTTTTTATGATTCTGCCTTGAAGTGACTAAACAGATGGCCCACAGGGTGTTGTATATTCAAAGTAATAGATAAACTAAAAAGTCTTAGTTCAACAAACACACATTTTAATCTATTCCCTGCTACTTCTGACTCTTACTGTGGCTAAGGCTGTGATACAATTTGAAAGCCTCAAAGCTATCAGAATGTATCCTCTGCCTGCATTTCACCTACCTTCTATTGGTGTTTTCAAAATTCATTTCCTAACCAGCAGTAATGGTCACTCTTTCATCTAAAATCCCAATTCAAGTAGAAGGCATGACCAATCTCTAAACAAATATTCACATACCAGTGACAAATGCTACCACAGTTCTCCAGTTTTTCTTCCTTTTGTCTCAGACCCAATCACTCTCTTCAAAATTAATAAGGACTCCAGTGAGGTGTGGATTATATCTACTGATATTTACTGCATTAGGAAATTAAAACAAAAATTTTAAAATATTAATTCACTAAAAAGCAATGAAGAATTTATTATACATTAATATAAATAACATAGTTCAATGAAAAATAACAATACTCTCCAAAACAACAACAAAAACTAGTATAAAGGAGTGACATTGTTTTACATTTTTCAAAATCTCTTTATTTTCTGGCTCAATAGAAGACATCTGGATTCTCAAATAGGTTGCTACTTTCAATCTGCTGCAACAAGTTATTTTTTCATTGACGTACTTGTAAAGTATCCAGCCTCACACATATAGATTATGTAATTGAAAAGGAGTATTTTAACAGCAATTTCAGATAGTTGTGAATATTTTTCTTTGACACCACATAAAAATTTGACAAAGAATAGTATCTTAAAGGTTAGTTACAATGTAGAATCTGGAATTATAACATTTTTGTAGTTATGTTAAATTCCATTATTTTTTAAGAATTGTATTCTTTAAAATTCTATTCTATTCTATTTATATTATCACCAATCTAATCCAGAAGAGTCTTTAAGTGTTGAGAAGCTGTAAGCTCATGATGGTCGAGACTAGTTTTTCAAAATTTTAATTTTTACTTGAAGACTCATATTTTATCATTGGCAACAAAT